ACATCAAGGCCAAATGGAATTTTGATAAGATGTGCACTAAACAAAAAACCGCCCAACTCATCCATATCCAAACTCACTGTAAGCAACAAAACAGTTGACAACAAACAGGAGATTTGCGACCGTCTGAACGAACACTTTGCAAACGTTTCAATCGAACATTCTTTCAACCTCCTACCGGGTAAGGCTGACCCCATGAAACTCTTGGGTCTTACTATAACTCAATCCATATCTCTTAACCCTGTATCGGAACGCAAATTACTATCTATTGTCCGTAAAATGAAAAATAAAAACAGTTACTCCGATGATGGCCTTAACATGTACCTAATAAAAAACATAATCCATTCCATAACTTTACCTTTAATCCACATCTTCAATTTATCATTATCAACGGGAATTTTTCCAGATACCTTCAAAATATCCAGAATTATTCCTATCCACAAAAAAGGATCCCTGGATGATATAAATAACTACAGACCCATATCTCTGTTGTCTCCTTTATCCAAGATTCTGGAAAATATAATGTACATCAGATTAAATTCTTTCTTCAATCTCAACAGCATTATATGTAACAGCCAATACGGCTTCCGGGCCAAGCATTCAACGGAGCTTGCTATCCTAGACTTTACCCGACATGTCCTAAACGGTATGAATAGCAAAAAACTATCTGTTGGCCTATTTCTGGATCTTTCAAAAGCATTTAATGTAATTGACCACAGCATACTCCTAAAAAAACTTGAGTGGTATGGTGTGAGGGGAATCGCTTTCAATTGGTTGGAGAGCTATCTCTCCTTGCGTTCTCAATATGTTTATATCGATAACTTCAAATCAAATAAAACTCATGTCCAGAATGGAATTCCTCAAGGATCCTACTGGGTCCTTTTCTATTTCTAGTCTACATCAATGACCTCTGTAACGTCTCATCATTAGCCAAATGTGTACAATTTGCCGACGACACGAACATTTTGTTTACACCAGACGACATCAACAGCTGCCGAGACATCATCAACCAAGAACTGTCAGGATTTTCCAACTGGTTTCTAGCAAATAAACTACTACTAAATCATTCCAAATGTTCTTATATGATTTTTGGTCCCAAAATATTAACTAACCAAGTCCAAGATTTAAACTTGCTGCTTAACAACAATCCAATTAATCGTACACGTTCAACTAAATTCCTAGGTATCAATATAACAGATAACCTCTCATGGGACTACCACCTGCAATCAACTCCCCAAAAGGTCAATTAACTAATTGGAATTTTCTACAAAATAAAATACAATCTTTCATGGTCTACTAAACCTTTACTACGTTTTTATTTATCCCCATCTTACCTACTGCATAACTGTATGGGGAAACAGTCCTAAAAGTCACTTAAACAACATTACGCTCTCTCAAAAACGTTCAATACGTCTTATCTTTAATACTAATCCTTTTGCCCATACTAAACCCTTTTTTGCAAATAACAATATTCTACCATTAAGGTTTATATATTACTATTTCACAGCCATACTTGTTTTCAAATTTATTAATAAACTTCTTCCTACTCCTCTAGACCACCTTTACACGACAAGCAATTCTATTCTATCTGCTCATACAAGACACACCCAATTCTTTTACACACAAAGAACCCGTATTAAATTATTTTCATCAAGTATTAAACTTACTGGACCAAAAATTTGGGCTGAACTGCTTCCTCCTCAGTTACATGAAATCAAAAGTATACAACTCTTTAAAAGGAAGCTACGTAACTTTTTAACAAACTTAGATCCCGACACCACCATCTAGTTATCTGGGAAAGCATGTTCATGTAAGCATTGTGTGTGTCTAAGTGTGTGCGAATGTGGTTGCTTGTGTGAGTGTGTGTGAATGAGTGCTGTGCTTGTGTGAGTGTGTGTGGATGAACAGGTGTGTGTTTACGTGAGTGTTTTTGTGCGCGTGAGTGAGTGTATGTGCTTCTGGCGT